CCCCTTTCCCAATTCCCGACCCCTTTTCCTCAATTCCCGACCCCTTTCCTCGAATTCCCGGCCCCTTTTCCCAAATCCCTGTCCCTTTTCCCAAATTCCCAACCCCTTTTCCCCAATTCCCGTCCCCTTTTCCCGAATTCCCTGCCCCTTTTCCCGAATTCCCGATTCCTTTTCCCCAATTCCCGGCCCCTTTTCCCGAATTCCCGAGCCCTTTTCCCGAATTCCCGTCCCCTTTTTCGGAAATCCTGACCTTTTTCTTGAATTCCCTGCCCCTTTCCTCGAATTCCTGTCCCCTTTTCTTCAATCCCCGGCCCCTTTTCCCGAATTCCCGGCCCCTTTTCCCGAATCCCCCGCAGTGAACACGGACAGCGAGACCGCCGTGGTGAACGTCACCTACGCCAACCGCGAGCAGACCCGGCAGTGAGTGCCCCGGGACCCCGCAATTCTCCGGGAATTCTCCGGGAATTCCAAAATTCCCTCCCTTCCCCACCAGCCCCGGCATCCCCATCTCCCCAAATCCCAAGATTCCGGCTCAAATCCCTTGGATCTGATCGCTTTTCCTTCCCCTCTGCGCAGAAATTCCGAGTTTTTGGGGTTTTCTCGGAAGCTCAGGGGGTAAAACTTGGAATTTTTTTTTTTTTTTAGCTGGGGGATTTCCCGGTGCTCCCAGGATTTTGGGAATTCTGGAAAAGTCAAAAAAAATGGGGAGAAACGTCCAGGGGAGAGCTGGAGATCATTCCCAGCTTTTTTTTTTCTCCTTGGATTCTTTCATCCCTCACTCCGGGGGAATCCTCGGTTCTGACGCTTTTAGGGATTTTTTGGGGGGGAGTTTTTAGGGAATTTTCTTTGCTGGATTTGGGAATGTGGGAAGAGCAAATCCCTGCTCTGGCTGCCGGCCCCATCTGCAGGCCGGGATCCAAACTGGGAATGCGGAATCCAAACTGGGAATGCGGAATCCAAACTGGGAATGCCGAATCCAAACTGGGAATGCGGAATCCAAACTGGGAATGCGGAATCCAAACTGGGATTTGGGATCTCGCTCACTCGGCCCTGCCCACGGGGTCACCCCCAAAACCTCCCCCCAAAAAAATCCCCAACCCCCAGCTCCAAAAACAGCCCAAAAATCCCCAAAGAAACCTCAAAAAAATCCCGAAACTTCCCCAAAAAATTCCCCAAAAAATCCCCAGAAAAACGCCCAAAAAAACCCACCAAAAATAAAAAATAAATCCCAAAACACCGCCAAAAAAATCCGAAAAAATCCCCCCAAAAAATCC